CGATGGGCTGAATTGCACAAAACGCATGATCGCACCGGCTAGTCCGGTGCGCGTTGCCATTTATTTATATTTTGCATCATTTTTGTAGTCTCAGTGTCTTATTTCAATATTTTATTGTTTTTCTTCGGTCCGGACAGTGGTATAGATATTTTCCTGGAAAAAACAGTAGATCAGGTTGTCGGCTAATTGACGAGCACCTAGACTGGTAACGCTTTGGAGGCATTTGTGAGCAATCTTCGCAAAATAAATGATGTGCAGCGGAAACACAGTGCAAGAAGGAAATGGTCTTGAAAGTTTTAAGGGATCGAAAACGAAGCTGATGTAAAGTGTCGGTATGACCACGACCAGACTGCACATAAACGATGGCGAGTTGGAAGAAAACAGCTTTATTCAGTTTGATTAGAAGTCAACTTGCACCACAGTGTCCATTCGAAGAATGAATGTAGAGAGAGACTATCAGTTGCTGGAAATTTTGCATTGGTGTCGAATCGAGCGACTGTGCTTGTTTCTTCACTACCACTTTGCTGAAGGCATTGATGCTGCTACGCAGACATGGTCATTATCCAGAACTGGGAAAGGGAATGCTGACGGTGACGGGAAGTGCAGTGGAGCGAAGGATGCCTGAAAAGCCTATTTTAGACCATACAGAAAATCGCTTTTTTTGTCAAATGAACGACTTACAAGATGTTGTGTTACGACTATGCGAGAAGCGAGATTAGTGGGTAGAACAGCTTGCTCCACTGGGCGTCACATCTTGGTGAATAGTGCCTGCAAGAAAGTAAACGATCTCGGTGGTTTTCAGAAAAGTGGCGCGGATATGTTGAAAGGGCTTCGAGCATTAATTGCATTTTTGTGACTCAGGGCCGAAGAAAACTAGGCAGCAGTACTCTGTGTTGGGAGCATCCTAGTAACATCACTAACATCTGCTTTCCTTATCGCCTTTATGGTCTCAGTTTCCCAAAATTGACACATAACAAAGTAAACAAAAGTGCATTTTTTTGAACTTAAAGGGCTTTTTGGCTTTTCCAACAATGTTTTAACATTTTTGAACATCAAAACTGTTAATAAAATAGCTGATGGAGTGCTTCCGGAGGCCTGAAATCAAAACGTGCCATTGGTGCGCAAACACAAACATTACTTAAAATACCCTGTTCCCTCTGATGACGTATTTCGCCCAGAACCTGTTTTTATTTTTTTACAAAATGCACAGTGGAAGAAAGTTCTAAACTTTCTCTTTGAAGTTTTGAACTGTCTTTCATTTTTCTTTCACGACCACCTTTGATTTCTGTGATTTTGGCTTTGCTGGCTTCCGTTCACAAGTTGAGTTTCAAATCCTCTGGTGTGTTATGTAGAAGCGCCATACCATTATAGTGTCTGTGATGCGATTAAACAGAGTCTTCAGAATTTGTTCTTCGTAGTTGTATTCGATTTAAAATCGCATTTAATTAGCCTTACCAGTTGAGGCCTTAGTTCATTCCTCCAAAAAAGAGTGAAATATTTGACTCAAAATTGGTGGATGTTACGTTTAAAAAAAAAACATATTTTATAAAACACATGTTTTGTACGTTAGCTGAAGTTGTATAATATACGGGTACTATTTCTAGCATAAAATCCTGCCTTTGTCAACAAACAGAATTACCAGATCCTGGCTTCTTACTGCTTGATTTTTTAAGAGTGTAACTCGCTCGACAAGTGCATTTTTGGATAGCACAACACAGCTGATCAGTGGCGGTGGCATCGATGTGAGAGCGGTGAATGATCTGAACGAGGAAGTGCTGGATCGCTGGCGTCGATTGGTTGGCCTAATCGAAGAAAGGAACAAACTCATCAAAGCCGGTGTGGTCTGCTACAAAACACTGCATCAAGGGGTATATTTTTTTTTTTATGCATGGGACAAAACATTTAGATGACGTTACGTTCACTCGGTGGTAACATTTGTCAGATTCGCTAAATGCTGCCAGAATTAGCATTATGATATTTACCAGTCTCTATTTCTGGGAAAAAATTGGTAATTGTTCGAATGATAGCCGGCTTGGCTCAGTGTAGTACTGGACTGAAAATGATGGGGCGTAAATTTGCGTAGAAAAACCTGGTCGGCATGAATGCAATAACAACAAAAAAACTAAAAAACTTAGAAGATTATGCTTTTGGGCACAACGCATGTAATATTTTGCCAGCACGAAGAGCTAAATTTGCTCTCCCGAATCTCGTTGATTGTGTTTCGCGTATGCAATAGTAGAGTAGAAGGATTCGACATAAGTATCATGTACGAAAAGACATTTTACGATGCAGTCTCCGTGTGTTTCATCCCTTAGCTGTAAACACAGACCGGACTGTGCATACGGGTAGGTGTGG